CTCCTTCACGAGGGTTGAGCAAACGGGTCTGAAAGATCCAAAGCATTCGGGTAAGGTTAAGGCTTTTCTCACGACCACCCAAACTGGTCCCTCCACGCTTGACGCCCATCACAACTCTCCGATTGTTCCATCCTGAACTCCCACTTCTTTCATAAAAGAGACAGTATGATGACAAAGGGCTCCCTCTCGCTTCTATGGTATGCCCTGCTGCCGCTGTTGGCGGCTGGTTTTCAAGTGCTTCCACAGTCGGTGGTTGGAAGCTGTCACATTCACAGCCACACAGCGTTGTCTGTCAACCCCAACGCCATTGTGGAACCCGAAGAAAGTGAGCGACGTGGCATTAGTCCCAATCAGATCAAGACGTTGCGAAAGGAAGCCTCGAAACGACTGGCGCGAAAGCTTCTAGTGCAGCGCACCTTCGAGAATGATAAAGACAGTTTTGACGAATTTTTGCAAAGAGTGCGTCAAGATTTGGACGACAACGAACTGGTGCAAGTCCGGGGAGTGAGTTTGGAGGACAAACGGTTGGTCTACCAGAGTGCCCATCAATTGGCGTACGACCTCAGTGTGGTGTTGCAACGAGGCATTACGGTGGTCCAGATTCAAGGGCATGCTGTGACACTCTTTAGTCCGAGTTCCGATCCCAAAAAGCGAAAGATGTTGCTCCGAACCAGTTTCCAAGAGGGTGCCTGGACACCCAGAGAAAAAGCCCCAAGGGATCATCGGGGGCAGATTGTCAAGGAGTGAGAGAGGGAATTTATTTGTGCCAGCAATATGCAGTTACGGTAGAGAACGAGAGGAGGAAGGAAATTTTACTCTTTGCAAGCGAGGTCCGGGTTTTGTAAGGACGCGAGATTTTAATCAAATTCAAAAGCTGAGATCCAATGGCCAACTCTTGGAATGGACCTGAAAATTGCAATTCACATTAATAAGCAAAATTCCTGAAAGAAACAAAGAAGGAATAATTATTTCATCCAACAACTCCTGCGAAGATATGTTTGGGTGCCGTTACCCAATCCACAGCTATCCACGTCCACAATGGATTCAGGATCTCTGATTTGACAAATCACATATCTCGTTCAAGACACTTGATGTTGTTGGTCCCGTCCGTGTCGTTTTCTTTGGCAATTGTTGACTTCTCGGATCAAATGGAAAAATCCTGCAGGAAAGATGCATAGGCAGCAACCGCACTTCAGTTTCGAGATGACATTTTTTGTGACTACTAGCGGTATTGTTTATTATTCTGTTTTCTAAGCGAATCGAATCATGGCGTTGCTGTACGCCGTGGGCTACCGTAGATAGGCGGAGTTTTCTAGGATTGAATGATTGATTCAAGATGCGCAACTTTTGAAAATGCATCAAGGTGCTGCTTTGGGGGGCTTTCCCGAGACCATTGGATTAGGCTTTTGGGATCTGAGATCTGAGCTATCCGTACAGTATGCAGCGAGTTGAACAGTTCATCGTCTTCACAATCAAACGAGGCAAAGGAAACGTTTTTGAATACAAGAGATGGCTGGACTAATAGCTAGCTAGAGAGCCTTGTGGCTGATTGACTCCCACCATGGCCTCTAGCTAGCTAGAAATGACGTGTTTTAAAGTTCCACGTGGAGTTACTTTTCGAAAACCAAAGAAACCAAACAAAGGACGAGGTATCGTCGACGACAAGCTGTTGAGAAGCAAGACAGGGGAATCGTAACTCAAACCAACAGAAGACGATGATGAAGAGAGCGGCTTTAGTTCCGCTATTGATGGTTGGGGTGCGACTTCAGGAGGTAGCTTCGTTTCTCGCCCCCCATCAACCTCAGACTTCCCACGTAATTTTGCGGAACAAAATCCAACAAAATCTAGAAGAAAACAGCCGACGAAAAGCACAAGGGGGAGGTATGCAAGGATGTGAAAGGAACAAGAGCGTTGGAGGCATGCGTGGACTGGAATTCTCACAAAAATTAGTGTTCATCGTGTCTCCCCTTTTCTATTATAGCTGGAGAGACCGTGGCTGGTGCTGTTCTTGGAGGAATGCTCTTAGGGCCATTCGGGGCCTTGTTCGGAGCTCAAATTGGAGCCAACATGGGTGCCAACAATGCCGTGGATAGAGCCAAAAAAGAAGAGATGCAACGGCTAGGAGTTACCCAGCAAATGCTCGATACGGCCCAAGAATGCGGTCTTGCACTGGAAAGAAGCATGGAGGGGCTCCAGGCGACGCAGGATAGTCTTCAGACGCAACAATCATTTGCTAAAATGCTCGACTCTGATGCTGCGGCACTTTACGAAAAAGCAAAAACGGCGCTGGACGAAGGGAATGAAGAGAGAGCCAAAGATTTTCTCTTTGAACGAAGTAAGGTGCAAGACAAGCTGAAAGGAGTCCTGATACAATGTGCCGATGCAAAGAAACGATTGGAAACCATGGAAAGCAACGTTGCTGCAATTGAACGGCGAGCAAAAGAAGTGGAAACGCTGCTGCAAAGGACAATAGCGGCCAAAACAACTTCAGATGTGCAAATGTCATCCATGGATTTCTCCTTGTCCGAAGAAGATCCGTTGCTGAAAAAGTTTCGTGATGCTGGGATTGATTGACCTCGGTTGGCGCTTGGCGTTTGGTGTCATTGCTGCAGTTAGTTGCTAAGATAAAATTGTTCAACGATTAGTAGTTTCTAAGGCTCATTTCACTTATTGATGTTCTCCACTGCGAAGAGAGAAACAAAAACGTTGGATTACAGATACACCATCACAAGTCAGCGGCCGCCCCAACGCCGACGAAACTGTTGCAACACCTTCCAGCAAAATCCAAGAGGACAAGCAAGGGATCCCCTGTTCTTATCGGTTTGGTGACGATAGAGTTAGTTCTGGCTTCGAATCCGGCGTGCAATTGTTGCGACAGATACTTACTACAAGGCTTTGGCGTTCTTGCTCAAGGTTTCAAACATGAAGTCATAGGCTAGTGAATCCATGAAGGCCGACTGTTTTGCGTTCGCAGCACCTCCATGGCCTCCTTCAATGTTCTCATAGTAGTACACGGGCCAGTCTTTGTCCTTGCCCAAGTCCCAGAGTTTCTTGACGAACTTCCTCGCATGGGCAGGGTGAACACGATCGTCTCTGGTGCTGGTTGTTACAAGAAGTGCTGGACACTTTTCCACAGAAGTGTCAATGTTGTGGTATGGTGAGTACTTGTGCAAGTAGTTGTCCCAATCATCAGTGCTGGGGTCACCATATTCACCCATCCATCTTGAAATAAGAGCAGAGAAGATAGATGAGTAATATGAGATTTTAAAAAGAACCAACCAACCACAACCAGGGACTGTGCAGCCAAGTAACTTACGAAGCACCCGCCAGGAGCTTGTTGAAACGTTTCATGTCACTGCAGCATCAAGTTGCAAAAATGAGAATTCGGTGGTAGCAGTGTGATGTTTGTCATTTATTTTGTATGACAGCACAACTTACATCAAAGGTACAGCGCAGTGAATAGCTCCAAAGAGATCTGGGCGCATAGTGTACATGTTTCCCACTAGAAGACCACCGTTACTTCCACCTCGGACAGCCAAAGTGGAGGGTTTGCAATAGCCTGAGGCAATGAGATCCTCAGCAACAGCAATAAAGTCTTCATAGGCTTTGTTTCTGTTTTCCTTCAGTGCAGCCTGATGCCACTTGGCTCCAAATTCGCCGCCGCCACGGATGTTGGCTGTTCATTGATAAGAATGAGATGCACCTGAGCTACCCAAGCCAACTAACAACCCTACCAACGAAGGGAAAGTGCAACCACTTACCAATAACATAGACACCTCCTCGTTCTATCCACGCAAGCCCAGGGATGGCAGTATAGTGAGGACCTAGATTAATCTCAAACCCACCATATCCATACAAAAGCTGAAGAAAATCAAGATGTTAGCGAGAGCATCATTTGCCGGCACCACAACAGCAGGAACCTACCGTAGGATTCTTTCCATCAAGAGTGACATCTTTGTTCTTGACCAAGAAGTATGGAATCTGTGTTCCATCCTTGCTAGTGGCACTCCCCTGGATGGCTTCTAGGTTTGAAGAATCAAACTGAGGTGGCAAAGATTTCACTTTCTCAATGGCATACAAGCCTTCACCATCAATTTCACTGTTTTGCACCAAAGAGGCATCAGCAATTTGCAAAGTTGTAGGCTCCAGAAAGCTGCTAGTGGTGAGCCAAAAGCGATCATCATCGACTGCATCAATGGCTGAGATAGACACATCTCGGATTTGCGGTTCCATATCTTTGCCAACACGAACAAAGCCATCAGCTGTGATATTGTAGAACTCGACCTTGGTTTTGACATTGTCTAGAATCATGTGCATGAGGTAGTTCTTGGTTGAGCTAGTGTATTCAGAAGCAGTCCTCTCAGTGGGGGCAAAGAAGACCTTGAACAAACAATCAGTTGGTCCCTTTTCCAAAAATGTCTTGGCATCAACATACAACATGGAGCCTTGATAAACTTCTGTCCAGGAACAGGCTCCCAGTCGGATCGCAAGGTAATCATAAGCAGGTTGCCAATGAATGATACATCTGCATCATCCTGCACTTGAACCTCCTTAAACTCAGGTGGACTGCCAGCTTTCTCACGGAGTGGGTCATCTGGAGCAAGAAGGTGTTCATAGTCGATGATCCTGGCAAGATACTTGCTTGTGTAAAAGGTAACCGAACGATATCGGACTTCATAGATGGGTCCATTACGAAAGCGCTGATCACTGGTGTAGGCTCCCACAGCAACATCAGTTTTCTCTCCTTCAAAGACAACAGGAGCATCTTTAACATCAGTTCCTCTGACCCATTCTCGAACAGTGCGAGGGTAACCTGAATCAGTGAGACTGTCGGGTCCAAAGTCGCTGCCGACACTCAGCACATCTCTGCTCTTGTAACTGGCCCTAGTCTTGGCCTCGGGCAGATTGAAGGGGTTTTCATTTTCAGGTACAAAGTCTCCCTTGAGAAAATCGAATTCCTTGATGTGCACTGCATCGGATCCACCGCGACTGAGGCTGAGCAATGCTCTAGTCACACGTTTGCCACCATCAGACATGGGATCACGAGCTCTCTGCAAAGGAGTGCTACCTTTCCAGACCCAACTAATGTCATCTTTCTTGGACAGTTCATCCAGATCCAGCATTGTCTCCCACTCAGGATTTTCTTTTTTGTAGGATTCCATTGTACACTTTCTCCATAATCCCTTTGGGTTTTCGGCATCTTTCCAAAAGTTGAACAAGAGTTCATTGCCATTTTCATCAAGTCCTCGTTTGGCTGCATAGGGAATTCGATCCTTGCTTTCTAGCACGCCCAGCACTCGATCATAGGTGGGTCCATCTGTTGGCTCTCCGAGGGCCTTGAGGCACTTTTCATTGGAATCTTTGGCAAAGTTCAGACTCTCTTCACTTTCCACATCTTCCAGCCAAATATAGGGGTCTTCTTCATCAGTAGTGGCTGCCATTTTGGTTTTGGATGGGCAAGTGCCGACGGTAGAACACGAATGGATATTATTACTGGTCGCACTAGCGGCACTCGTAGCGTATACGCCAAGTGAAAAGGAATGGGACAATAGGCTTGATTGAGCTAGAAGGAGATGGATGAGACGACTTTTTCCACGTCCGGTCATACGAAGCACCAGCGGTATGCCCATAGGATTCAAAGAATATGGCAGAGTGGCAGATCTTCTTCCACAAAAGATAGAAGTGCGGTTCCAGATCGTGCTTTTGCTTGTCTTTGTCTGGCCTGTAGGTGCCAACCGAAAACACCTCAAATGATGCGGATGTCTTGCAATCGGCAGTGTGCTTTCTTTGGATCTTTGGAGGAGGATGGCTCGGTGCGTATCTTTGCTGGTTAGCGAGTCCGGTCACTGGCTGAGTCGAGTCGAGTCGAGTCGAGTCAAAAATGCCTTCGAATTATTCGAAGGCCGAAACGGTCTTGGGAACTCCATGCTGAAGGAACATGATGATGTCTCCGACAAACTACTACCGTACCAGTCTGGTAGCTAGCTAGTATCGTACCGCCACCATACAAGTATTATACTGCCTTCGCTGTCTCTCAACACTTCCTGCTTTCTCCTAGATTCAAATTTTGCGAGCAGGTCAGATAGACCTTAAGACTGATCGTGTTGCAGCCTTTCACACTTCGGCATTTGGGGTGCTTTCAAGTGTTCCGCATAGGTTCAACTGCTCCATTCTGCACGGTACCGGTAGGCATCAATGCTTAACGTTTGTTTTGGGAGGATGAATATCCCCTCATCTATAGCCTAATAGTGCAACATTGCCTCCCCGAACTCTTTTATTCGTCGCCTCCAATTGAGTCAATCCGTCTTTGGAGTGACCGACCGCATCACTTCATGTATTTGGAGGACCATTCTAGATTTCTTTGCATTGCCACTGCAGGCTTTCTTGACATTTTCACTGCTTGTCCACCACGTTCTGGACAGCCCAAGTGTGAACAAAGGCATCCAAATGACGGCCAGTGCAATCAGAATTGGACTCTCTGGAAAAAGATCTCGGACTGCGACGTGTCACATCTTCAGCTACCACCAAGATACGATCTTCTTGGTACATGTACGGTACCGGGGTGCATCGATCGATCGCGAGGGCTTCATTGATACTCAAGAACACCTGGAGCGCCAAGGGACCATCCCCAGAACCAAGATGATTGCGCTTGATTGGGCAGCCCAACGCCAGAACCGACAAGAGGCAAAACCACACGGGACCTCGGAGTTCGGAGGGAATGCATTGGGAGTGACAGGCGACTTGCGAACAAAACATTCCGCGAAGTTGATTGCGGTAAGACTGACTAAGAATCCACGTTTCACTCAGTACAATCACACGTAGCGGTACAGTAGATGTCAAGCCGGCGATACTTTTCAGAAGCGTTCTTGATGACCCATCACTCGGACGAGACATGAGGGCAAGAATTCTGTTCTTCAAAATCATCTGCTGTCATCCCTGAAAAGTTGCTTCTCCTTCAGGTTGACTCTTCCATTGATCTCTTTGTTGCTGTTGATGTTATCCCATCAGCCAACCATTGAAAGCTGAGAAGACAAGAGCATATCCTAGAACCGAACGAGTTTCGCATTGCCTTTTTGACGTAAAAGTAGTGAAGAGAGAAAGAAAAAGGCACCATGAAGCCCTCTTTGCAGTACCCTCAGCGTTTCGGCAGAATTCTTCTGTGTCAGGCACGGCCACGCCGCGCCATGGCCATCCGGTCCTTTGCTTCGGTGATGAGACCCAAGGCGGAAGAGGAGCATGCTGCAACATCACCAATGATTCGTGTGCCAGAAGAAAAGTCGACCATTGCCGCCAAGACACCAACTGTCTCGATTGACCTCCACCTGGCAAGCAATGACAACACCACAGAAGCGGCTGTGTTTGAATCTCCTTCCGAGATTCAGTATGCCGGAAATGCCACCATGCCGTTGACCAGTGTTCTTCACATTGTCAAGCCATCCGAAGATGCTCCCCGTGGGGTCTGGCCTGTCTTTCGGCTGATGGTGAGTCCCTTTCTGCATTTCATGTCGCTTGTCCGGGCTTCGTTTTGTTCGTGTTCTTTACCAGTCACTCACTCCAATCCAATGCTTCCTTTCTCTCTCTTCTTGACACGCGCTCTCTTCTCTTGACGTACGGTAGGATGAAAATGGGAGATTCCGAGATCCTGCATTTGACGCAGCGGTCAAGGATATGAAGGAGGTCACCACCGCTCCTCCGTCGACCGGAGAAGCGGCAAAAGACTTGACGGGACTACGAGCCAAACTACAGCAACAATACCCATTTCATGCCAAAGAATTTGAAGCATGCACCTTGCTACAAGAGTCCAAGCATCCCTATCCCGACACAGACTCAAAGAATACGCTGCTTCGAGCACACCAACAGATTGTGCGACTTCGGGAAATGGATACCATCTTTCAAAATGCACAACGCCAGGGACGCATATCCTTTTACATGACTTGTCGAGGAGAAGAGGTAAGGTTGCAACGTGTGTATTTTTTCATTGGAGTATATAGCCATGATGATGAGCGCGCTAGCTAACTGGCTTCTCCCCTCACGTTTGTCAAGGCAATCCATTTCGGATCTGCGTCCGCCCTTGACCCAGCAGATACCATTTTTGCTCAATACCGAGAAGCAGGGCCGCTCATGTGGAGAGGCTTCACGCTAGAACAGTTTGCCAATCAATGCTTTTCCAATGATGGGGATCTTGGAAAAGGACGGCAAATGCCAGTTCATTACGGTTGCCGTGCCCTGAACTACCAAACCATTTCAAGGTACGGAAGAGATCGATCGATATGTGGGAAGGATTCACCGTGTCTCAATTGCCTTTCCATTCGTTCCGTTCAGTCCGCTTGGAACTCAAATCCCACAGGCCGTTGGAGCCGCCTATCACTACAAGCTCCAGGGCAAACCCAATGTCACTGTTTGCTATTTTGGAGATGGAGCTGCCTCCACGACAGACTTTCACAGTGCCTTCAACTTTGCAGCGACTTTGAAGACTCCCGTCTTGTTCTTCTGTCGTAACAATGGCTTTGCAATTTCCACTCCCGTCGCGGAACAGTATGCAGGTGATGGTATCATTGCGCGTGCTCCTGGATATGGCATGGCCGCGATTCGTGTCGATGGAAATGACATTTTTGCGGTGCATGCCGCCGTTCGGGAAGCTAGAGCCTATGCCTTGGAACATTCGGCACCGGTCCTCATTGAAGCCATGACGTACCGATTGGGTCACCACTCTACTAGCGACGATTCCTCAAGCTATCGAGACAAGGACGAGGTTAGTTCCTGCGAACATCGTTTCGATCCTTTGGGTCGCTTTGATAACTTTTTGAAGGAACAGGGCTGGATGGACGACGCCGCATTGTCTGCCCTTCGTGACGATGAAAAGCGAGCTGTGCTCAAGGCAATGAATGATGCCGAACAGCGCCCGCCCCCACCTTTCAAGGAACTCTTCTCGGACGTCTACAAAGAAATACCGCCTCATCTCAAGCGTCAGCAAGCCCAACTTGAAACTCACATGAAAAAGTACAAGGGCAAGTACTAGCTAGCTTGACTGCGCAATGCAGCTAGCTAGCTAGTAGCCAAGCCATACTGGACTTGCCGAGACAAAGAACGGCTCTTGTGCATGGTTGCGTGGTGCTGGGGGTGCTTTGTAGAGGCCGCCATTCATGACATAATATGGAATCGAATCCATCATCCACTCTTTTAGATTTCTGTGGGACCGGCTTGGGACTGACCTTCCTCTTGGTATATTCGCTACCTTGAAGGCCTGAAAATAGAAAACGAAGCCCAAGGGTTCTACACACATACAATGCATAACTTTGAACGATTATAAGGAACGCAATTTGGAATAGTTAGCCGTGTCTTGGGGTAGTTGGCCGTGTCTTCGCATCGTGGGAGCCAGGAGGGGGTAATGCATGCTAGGATAGGATTTTCGACAACGCCGCCCAACGCCGACGTACCATACCGAAGGAGTAAAACTTGGCTGAACTAGTTACTAGGGAAATGAAAACTCTTGGCTTGATGATGAAGCTCCTTGAGAGACTGCAATACAGGTACCGCACCTTCTTGTCCTGGACTACTTTTCTTCATGAATGGAGTGACAGTCTCCACACAGGTCCTTTGTTACCTTCCTCCTTTGCCTGCAGCAGGCTTCCTTGGCAGCCTGCTGGCTTCCTTTCTTGGCGAAGATTTGGGGCGCCACCGCACTTTGCTGTGTTGCTGCTAAGTATGCATAATAGCAAGCTAGACTAGCTAGTATAGATACCTGCATCAACCTCTCTCTGCCCAGAGCATTGTCGTCGATCTGCATGGTATCATGTCTAGCATGATTCCCACCGGATCCACAGAGCCCGTGGCATCGGCAGCAGAGAAAGCACAAGAGCCTGATGCTGCGACGACTGATGAGATCTTGGCGCCGAATCCTGCCGCCAGAGTCACCCCACCACCATCGCCACCACTTGTTCTGGAAAATGCAACTCCCACTAGTTCCACCGTTGCTACCCTTGATGCTACCCAACCAAATGCTGCTCCTGCCACTGTTGCTACCACCGTTGATGCTACAGCTACCCTTGCTGCTACCCAACCCAAGATTTTGTGTTTTGGCATGTCGTATACGTGCATTCCCAAGTCCATGTTAAAGCTCAATGTTTCTTTCCAGGAATGGTCGGAAGGACGCACCGAAGTGACACCTGCCGATGTGGTCAAGGCAGTCCGCCAAAACTTGTTGACCGAAATGGACGGTCGCGACATGGCTCGGTGTATCGCAACTGAAAAAACCTGTCAAGTGGATGTCTTTACTGTCTCGCAAGAAAGGGCCGCCGTGTACGACGACACCCGACACTTGAATGCCAATTTCAATCGTCATCGATTGATTCATCAGTTGTACACCAGTTTTGCCACGGACAAGGAGGGGAATCGGCAATCGACCAACAACGATAACAACAATGGCAGACGACAACAATCGTCCTTTGATGCCAAATACACCATTCGATTTCGACAAGCTATACTCGACTACTACTGGATTCCACAAGGGTGGGATAGCAATCATTGGTCTCCATCCTTCTTTTCCGACATTCTCGTTGGACTGGTCCAAAAGGGGATGCTCGACATGGATGGCAACGACAACAACAGCAACCAACAGATTCCCTGTGCCGTATATCTACCCTTTTGTTTTCACTGCTTTCGGCAAGTTGTCAATGCACTCGATTCACTCAAAAAGTATTATGCCATTTCCTTTTTGAGAAAACCAAATGATTTGGGGGAAAACACTCTGTGGCGGGGAACTCAAACAATTGACGCCGAAATGATGCAAACGCGTCTGGGAAAACGACGGGATCAGGAAGAAGTATATTGCACTTTTGGATACCAAGAGGTTGTCGAGGCCGCAACGGGTATCAAGGATGAAACCAAGGATACTCTCTTGCATATACTGAAGAAATTGGAAGACTTTGACGATATCCGCTTTCTGAAGTTGCGACCATTGCGACAACATCATCCTACCCTAACGATTCCAAAAGACCAGCATGAAAAGGGGGGCTTGAAGGGATTGGTGGATCCACGTCGAGTCAAGCGTGGATTTCGGGCATCGTTGGGTGATAGTGGCGACAACAGCAGCAGCAAAGTCGGTGCTCCGAAAAATGAAATTGTGAAAAACACCGGGGACGCGACTGGGAATAACCACAACAAAGATACGAAAAAGGCACCAAGGACACCTCGGGAGAATAGCAAGAAAGCTCCACCGCCTCATATGGTTGCAACTAGCTTGAAGAGCAACCATGCTTCCAAAAACGAAGCACTCCATCCGGCAAGTTGTAAGAGGAGCCTATCACAACAATTCCGGATCTGGGAAACTATCAAGAAGATGAATTTTCCCAACGGCGCAGGGTCTCGCCCGACCAGAAGGGCGTCCTCCAACCAACAAACTATCAATGTGGAACAACAATCTGCCGTCAAGCCAGGATGCAAAAGAGTTGTTCCTCCGACAGTAACAACGACAGCGACGCCATGGGCTCTACCGGTACCGGAAGCAAAGAGAAGAAAGTTGGCACGTGGTCGAAAGACCAGACGCGTACTCTTTTTTCGGAGCCAAGGCCATAATTCGCCGCGATCGTGTTCCAACGACAAGACGCTGTCATCTACACCAGCGTCCACGACAACGCGATCGTCCTCTCGTGGGACACGATCATCCCCTCGCGGGGCACCCTTACCCGAACAAACAGCCCAACGTCTCCCCTCAAGGCTTGCCAGAGAACTGGCATGGGACATGTCGGATCCAACACCTGAAAGACAAGAAGCATCTCCTAGCACCCCATGCACAAGAAGCACACGATTGGTATCGCCGTCACCGACATCCGTGTTGTCCCCAATGGTGGTGGAACAGCATCCTTCAGCTCGTCGTTCTCTACTAGTGATTGGTGCACAACAAAAGGCAAACGCAAGTTGTACTGTTGGGAAGAAATCTCAGAGGACGGTCATTGCTCGAGACGATATTCTGATCCATCACGACGCTCGTAGGAATCATGAACATCTCGAAGGAGAGCACGACACGCATGTCAGTGGGTTCGTCCCTCCAGATTGGGGACCCATTACGCATCTGCGACAACAAGGCTTGGTAGAGTGGCCCAATCCGAAACCTGTACAAGTAGCATCGAAAGTGACGCCTTGCAGCTACAAGTGAGTCGCGACAGAATGGAAGTGCCAACGAGCGATGCAGACGAATCCTGGGTTTTGTAGCGGTGTGAACTGTACTAGCTAGCTAATCTTTTAAAAAATTTAACGTCGTACCGTAACTCCAGAGCGGAGAGCCCGCGCAGGAAGGTGGAGTCGCTCAGTCGAGTGACAGCCATGCCATCCCCTCGCCGGATCCTGTCATCCTCTTGAACAGTCGTTCACTGGTCAGGTAAGGCAACCTCGACCAGGTGCAAAAGTATCCCTTAAGTTCCCTCTTGGAAATGTCGTGTACTTATTTTAGTCATCAGCAGTTCTCCAGCCTTGCCACGGTTCATTCTTTAGCCATTTGGAAAGGAATTCCAAGCTTACTTTTGGTTTGTGCTGCGGGACCATGTGGCCTGGAAGGTGGCAAAAAGGTGTGCACATGAGGGGATCATTATGCAAGTCAAGTAACCAAGACAAACGTCGATTGGCCAAATCGTCCACCTACCTGCACCACGAATGGTAAGAAAGTCAAAGTTCTTCTCATAGCGAGTGACGTATCCCCCAATGTAATCCTTTCCATCCAAAGTCCAAGGACGCCAAGCCTCCGTCTCCGTCATGCCAAGATGGCTCGTCCAGTTTTGCGCGGTAAAACTAACAAACAGAGAAGACAAGAGTCAGTCAAGTCGAGTCAGTCAGCCCAGGTCTTGGAATCAAGCAAGTTCAAACTATCCGCACTCATACCTATTGATGGCAGGATCCTTGCGTAGCGGAAAATCAATCGCGGAATGGGAGAAAAGGTTGGGAGTCAGGAGCTGTAAATCCGCCAAAAGACAGTCGCTATCATCATCATCATCACGATGGCATCCTTACCGTATCTCCATTGTAAATCAGCACCCGCAGATCTGTTTCACTGACAACACGGCGATAGAATGGCAGGAGATCCGGTTCGGTTGGAACGTAAGTAAAGCCGACCCCATTGTCCCCGGAAAAGAAGGCAGAATCGGGATCGACATGAAGCGCTGCCTTTACTTGTGGGGCTCCCACCCATGCGAAGAAGGCTTCGTAGCCACCGCAAGGGTAATCATTAAGAGCCCCTTGAAGCATGTCGCCAGAGGAGGAAATGGCTTGTTCACCGAGCCGCCGAGCGCTTGCAGTGGCCTTTTTCGCCGCGGAAGAGTGAGGCGGTACCCGACTAAAGTAGTTTCGTTTCCGTGTCAGTGAATTGTGGGGTGGTTCCAGATCATTTTGATACCAGCAGGAGTCGTAGAGACCGTATGCAAAGTAGGGTCCAACAGCGGCTTCAATCTTCTTCAAATGTTCCAAACAGGTACCGTTCTTTAATCCTCCATTGGGACCGAAATCGTCAGTGTCGCCATCATCATCATCAGTATTGAAACCAATCAACTCTTCTCTGGTACACTTGTCGAACGTTTCAAAGTACATTTTGTCTGGAAACTGACCATGACCGTGCATAAACTCAATATTGAACAAGGGACCAGGCCCATTCTTCCCACACACATTTTTGGTTCCCATACACCCATCGCCTACCGCAAATCCTTTCAATTGATCTTTGAGAGACCAAACATCTCCATCAAGATACGTTTCGGCAGAGTGGTCCAGAATTTCTCGTACCAACGTGGGCACGTAGACTCCCGCATAACTTTCCCCCGTAATGTACACATCGTGGTGTTTGAATTTGGGGAATCTCTGAAAGAACGACTCCAAGTACAGCCGGTTGTGATGGGCCGTCAATTCGTCATTCCAAGCCCCACACGAGTTGCCATCGCCAGACTAGTACATGTAGCAGAACCATTGAGAGCGACGTGAGACGACGAGACAGGCAGTCAAACCGTGTCATTTATATTTCTTGACGTACCGGTCCAATGGGTTCACAGTAGGAATAGCCTACGGGAGGCGGCGAATTGATGATTAGAATGTTGGCCAACTTGGACCAGGAATACTCGTTTCGAAACAAAGAGGGAATGCCAGTTTTCTGAGCAAACGGGGTGTAGTGAGATTTTGCACTCAAGTAAAAGGGACCCAACTCCAGAAAGAGTCCAAACATGGACGATGCTCCTGGGCCACCTATAGAGCGTAGAGAAAAGAATCAAAAACAAATGCACGTCGATGAGTCCAAAAATGAGCCATCATCATTAGAAAAGTTTGTGGTGCTTGTTGCCCCAATCACAATAATTACCGTTGGTCCAAACGACAAGAGGGTCCTTATCCGAATCACCCTCGCTCTCGACAAAGAAGTAGTGTTCATGAAGATGGAATGTGGTGCCGTTGTCATCGGTCTTGTTTCCAGCGTCGACAATCCCCGAAAACATGCGCGAGGGCAACACATCTTCCCAGCCAGGGAGAACATGGATCTCATCGGACAATGCCTCTTTTGTATCTTTCTTCTTCCATGGCCACGGAAACGTGCTATCGCCAGCAGTGGCAGTGGCGAGGCAGCTGCCAATAAATAGGACGATTGCCTTCATGTTGATGAGACGCAATGATCGATGTGGTTCTGAGTACGGTACGACTGTAGTGCAAAGTCTTGGAAGGGAAACAACCAACAGACTGACTCGACTCCGAGGATCAAAATCGCCAACCCATCTTTCTCTGGGGTTGGTCTGTCAGAATTTTACCTCAACACGGCGGCCAGTAGTTGAACATTTTTGCCAGTAGAAATTGTACTGGGATCTACAGGGTCACTCCAAAATTGATGTTTGCTGGGGAAACATAATTTTGTTGGAAGCAGCCTTCAGTTTCAAGGTTGCTCCTCTTGTTTTTAGAGTGTCGAAGGTGGTTCTGCTGAAGAAACAAGGAGAGAGTGACTTTCCTGTTGTAGCCTTGGTTGTCTCTTCTATCCCAGAGTCGATTTGGCTTGGCAGCTGCGTTGTCTGCGGTTGATAGCAGCATGAGCATCGGATCGCCGCACCAAGAGACAACAGCAAGCGGCAACGACAACGGCAAGAGGAGGCCTACATCATACCATTTCTTCTGAGAGGAGGGCGACTGCAGTGTTGTACCAAACTTCCCACTGGGTTCACGTCTTATCGGCTCCTAGGGAAGTTGGTCTCGCAACAGTCGATCTCCGATTGGATTGGATTGGATTGGATTGGATTGTTCTACCGCTGCCGGTTCTACTAACATCTAGGTTGTGTGACGGAATACTATAACAATCAACACCTTCTTTGGCTGCGGACAAACGAATCACCATTTGATTCTCCAGAATAATAGAATTGGTCAGCACCAATCATTGGAAGGGGAAGCTTAACAGTCGCAGTAACTGATTGAGGTGCCCCCCAGTATCGATTCCAATTTCAGATCTGTTCATATCAATGGATCGACCCTGATTTGATGCTGATGAATGAGAAGAGCCGTTGGACAACAATTCCATCATTCAAAATGACGACAAATTCATGTCCAAGCTTGAGATACGCTGTCAACAACAAGAAGGTCGCGTACGAGAAACCACGAAGAACATCGCAATAACCGTACTCCAGGAGTATCATGACAACGGCCCATGACAGTACCGGTACCGATGCGACTACTATAACAAGGACATCGACCATGACCATGGAAAGTTGACGACAATCGTTTTCAAGGAGACCAATAACGCTCCATTGTTTACCATCTATCATAGTTGCAACAACAACAATAATCTCGACTGCGTCCACACTGGCCCTACTACGACCTGCAGCTAGTGGCACACTCAGATCTTGCTTGTCATTGGTGTATTCGGTACCAGGTATGCCGTCTACTGCAGAGGAGATTGACCATCGCTCCGAAGACGCCGTACAGAAAAGGCAAAATTCTTCTGGCAAGCTCATCCTATCGGACGCCGTACAGAAAAGGCAAAATTCTTCTGGCAAGCTCATCCTATCGGACACATACGGCATTCCTTCAGCCAATGGTGCTCCAATGCTTGTGATGCCTAAGGCGACGATTTAGTTGACTACCGTAGAAAGAACAGCAATTTTGACGACAACAAGTCCACACGCCGCCTACACACATGACAATGACGGCGGCGCTACTCCTCCAGCCCATGCAACCATGCTTGCTGAAAATGCCGACAACAAACAGCGGTAATTTCAGATCTCGCTTGTCCGCAGTGTCTTGAATATGTCTTCTACCCTTGAAGACGACATACGAACAAGGGGAGATCCGGACAAATTCATATTCAATGAACTCCTCCACAATCGCCGTGGAAAGGCGACAACTCAACTGTTACCCTTGGCGGCGACACTGCTACTCATCAGCCCTCCCTTGCTTGCTATCAATGTGTTCGGCCCGCCATCTACTGTGCAGAGTTTCCAATCCTACCAACAACGATCGAAACAACAACGATACCGACCTCGCCTTCGTCAATGACTGCATAAAACAGTGGAACGATGACACTCACTCCACGAAATCAACTACAACGGCCACGGTGATGTGAATCCTACCATGCCCAAGTTCGACAGTGCTACATTGGAGATGTTCGATGGAGTCCACATGCAATGGCCACTAGCTTTGTCTACTGATACATGCATCAAACCGCCCTTGGTTGCGGACTGCGTCAATGAGCCCACCTCCAATCGTGGAAAAACAACAACCATCACCTACAAGGATACACCCGTGACCACTGACCCCTACATCAGTGCCGCCATTTATTGAAGGAGCCCCGAAAGAAATGCATATGCAACTTAAGGAATCATAAACCTGGACGTAAATCCTGATGATGTGTTGCCAAGAAGGCTGGCAAGCTAGTACATACCCAAGTTCTCAATTTATCGCCCCTGATTCCGTGGAATTTCGACTCTGCTTTGCTTAAGCCTGGCCCTTGCTGGCTTCTGTAGATAATTCATCAGCCTTTATGGCACACTGTATCCACTGATTCTACCCAGTGCAGTGTTGCCCCGAGTTTTGTCTGTCTTCCATGGTTCCATGGGACCGATAACTCTCCCGGAATTCAAGTTTCACTGGGCTCTTCACGTGCCCTTTGAACTATCTTCACAGTGCACACCAAATTGAATTGTCAACATACCTGGCACTGGTATGTCATAGCTGGTTTGTACTCTAGCTAGTCTAGACTGTAAATTTGGCTTGCCGTTCAGCCACAAAGAAATGTGGGTTGGCGCTCCCGGAGGGACCTCTTGTTGTGGAATGGATGTGGCTTCGCTTGGATCTTTGGATCCTCGAAAAAGCTCGCGAGGCTGCTGACTAACTTCGCGGGGGATCAACAAGTTTCTTAACAAAGGGGTTGGAGCCAAGGTTATCTGTCAAGGCGCTCGGGATGAAGCAGAGTACGGATACCGGTAACTTTTATAATTTCGTCTCCTGGAGACGATTTGCTTTAGGGGTAATGGTACCGATGGGGGCAGAGGTTTGAATTATACCCGGCGTGCATTACTTAGAAGGCCCTGTAG